TTCTCAGAGCGGGGTGACGGTGCGGGCTTACAGAGGATCCTCGTGTGTGAGAGAGGCTTCTCAGAGCGGGGTGACGATGCAGGCTTACAGAGGATCCTCTTGTGTGAGAGAGAGGCTTCTCAGAGCAGGGTGACTGGTCAGAGCGGGGACGACTGGTCAGAGCGGAGCGACTGGGTGGTGGTGTAGAAAGAGTGTCCTGGGCCTGACAGCCTGTGGGTGTCCTCGTATGTCCTGCAGTGGATAATGTCTGGGGTGTTTCAGTCAGATGTTTATGAGCAAGAACGACAGCAGATGTTTGATTCTTATTTGTGTTTTTGTTTTGCTTGTTTTTGGTTTGCTTTTTTTGTGTTTTGTTAACATATTTTAAATTTTTTGACGTTAGACGTAAACCCAAGTTTGTTTCATGACAGCCTTTTGCATTAGAGAAGTCAGATATTTTTACTTCAGGTGGCAACTAAACCTTCATGGTTATCTAGAGGGGTTAGTTGAAAGTGCTCAATGTATCCACAGAGGAAATTCTTGAAGGATAAACAATCTTTCCAAAAAACCAACCCCATTGCCATTAAGTCAATTCCTACTCAATATCTATAAAACCCAGAAAACTAAACCCATTGCTGTTGAGTCAATTCCAACTCATAGCGACCCTGTAGATACTTTTAATTGATATCTTTAGAGGTCTTTTGATTAGACAGAGAAAACACCCCCAGAACTCCTTTCTTTCTTCCCTCCCTTTCCTTTGTCTCTCCTTCCTCTCCTGCCTCCTGTCTGTCTTTAATGAAAGCCCAAGTGAAATGTATTTCCTTTCACTCTGTATAGCTTGTCAGTTCTATGATCCTTAGGTTTGTTTGTGCATAAAGGGAGTGATTTGCTATTATCACCGAATCCATTTAAAATGAGATGATTTGAATAATGGTCCTCCTGAAGGTTCCCACTCACGTCCACATATCATATGCAATCATTTCCTTTATCAAATAGCAAGAGTCAGTCCGGTTTTCTGCGTCTCTGCAGAAACCGCCAGCTGGAGTCTAGTGTCCTTGTCAAGGGAAGCAGTGGCAGCGTTGAGACTGGAAGGTGTTAGGGTGTGGAGGTGTTGTGGAGTGAATTGTGTCCCCCAGAAATGTGTGTCAGCTTGGCTAGGCCACGATTCCCAGTGTTGTGTGGTTGTCCACCATTTTGTGATCTGATGTGATTTTCCTATGTGTTGGAAGTCCTACCTCCATGATGTTAATAAGGCAGGATTAGGGGCAGTTATGTTAATGAGGCAGAACTCAGTCTATAAGATTAGGTTGTGTCTTGAGTCAATCTCTTTTGGAATTTAAAAGAGAAGTGAGCAGAGAGATGGGAGGACCTCATACCACCAAGAAAGTAGTGCCAGGAGCAGAGCGTGTCCTTTGAACCTGGGGTCCCTGTGCTGAGAAGCTCCCAGACCAGGGGAAGATTGATGACAAGGACCTTCCACCAGAGCCAACAGAGAGAGAAAGCCTTCCCCTGGAGCTGGCACCCTGAGTTTGGACTTCTAGCTTCCTGAACTGTGAGAGAATAAATTTCTCTTTGTTAAAGCCACCCGCTTGTGATACTTCTGTTATAGCAGCACTAGATCACTTAAGACAGAAGGGCGATGTTCTTGTGAGTTAAAGGCCTTTTTCTCCTGGACCCCCACGGCCTTTGCTAATCCCTAATGCCATTCAGTCTCATACGAATCAGAGAATCACGCTTTGAAGAAAAAAGCTTCCCTGATTCCTTATAGGTTGATTTGGGCTTGAATGTCTTTCATGTCCAAAGGGCTGCATGTCATCATCGCTCAGGATTTTTAGACTTGCGATGGTGAAGCAGACCTCTTTTTTTGCAGTGCAAATGAATTCATGCTTAGTATAAACCTTATCAGATTTCCCGGTTTGTTTGCTTATGTGTGTATGTATTTATGTATCTCTGTGTCCATGTATCCCTCCCTCCCTCTGTCCTTTGATCCTTCCCTCCCTTCCTGGCTTCAGCCATCCAGAAGGAAAAGGTATACATCACAGCGCCGACCAGAGTATCTGGCTGTGTTTGTAAAGCCGACAGTATTAGTGTTGGGCACCGAGCTGTGCTTGAGCTCTGACAGGCAGAAATGTTCATTCTGGAATCAGCATTTCATCTTTATTCTCGCCCTAAGCACCGTCACTGTGTGATGGCGTCTCAAGCCCAAGCTAAATGCCTTAACTTCGGTAATCCTCTTTGCTGACGCTTTGCTCAGACCAAGGTAAAATCAAAATCAGAGGGCTTTTTCGTTGTTGTTTGTAGCACGTTGTAGAAGTGCAGAATAAAACTTTAAGATGATGCATGTATCCATCTTAAGAGAGAAAATACCCACGCTGTTTACGATAGCGTCATGAACGGCCCCACACACTTGGGTGAAACCTGGCTCAGACACTTTGCTCTCCCACCTGATGTGCTTTTACCCCTCATCAGCTGGGAAAACTTGGTAGGGTTTCACTTTCCGTAGTTTGGACTATAAAAACTCTATCTAGGCATATATATACGTGGGTAAGCATTATTTTTTAATCTGTTGGTTTTTCCAAATGACCGTTGTATTATATAACATTGACTTTTTTCTTCAAGTTATAATTCATGCCCACCAGCCAGTTAGTCTTGCTATGATTTCAGCACTTGTGTTTTGAACATATCTTGTCTGTACTTTGTATTCTGCCCACAGCTCAAGCTATGCAGATTGCTGAGAGCCCCCTTAAATTAGGGATCCTATGTGACAGATGGAAGAACAGGTACCCAAAGTATTTCATGAAATGATATTTCATAGAAAGAGACTTGTATTGTTTTAAGCATTGAATTATAGATCAAGGCCATACTGCAGCTTTGTAAAGGGCTTGATCTTAAGGTTTTCTCTCAGAAATTCACTATGAAATTTGACTAAAACTACCAGATTTTATATAAAATTGTCAAGAAGCTGATTTACAAATAGGTTATAAAGTATACACACCCACTCCTCACTTATTGACATGGTTAGTTTCCAAAGGCCAGGTTGTTATGTGAAAATTGGCATTATGCGGAAATGGAGGGTGACCACATCAGATTACAAAATGGAGGATGACTACATCATTACATACCTGCCAGATTATGTCATTACAGAACTGCCAAACCACTGAGAGTCATGACCTAGCCAACCTGACACATAACCTTAACCATCACAGCCAGTGTTACTCTCGCCTCGCGCTTCAGCGTTCTCTACTGCCAGGCGTACGTTGTTAATGTGCGAAATAGGCAGCTGGTAGATTTTTCACCATTGTAAATGTGAACTGTCAGATGATGAGATAGTAAGTGAGGAGTAGGTATAATTCGTTTGCGTTTTAGAATTCAGAAGGCTTTTTAGCCCAGAAACAATTTGGGGTTTCCTGGACTTGTTTATTTAAATGTTTAGTTAAATACAGTATTTTTACAACAAACAACCTAGAAGATAATATTACTAGGCTGTTAGTAATTAAACAAAACAATAAAATCAAAACTGAATAAGAGAAATATTTAGTTTGAATGTTGCCATTTGAAGCAAAGCTGATTTACTTGACAGGATGGGCTGCTGCTGGAGACGTCCTGTGTCTGTCGTGACATCTGCAGATGTCACCTGCCTGTGTCTGTTGGTCTGTCCCCTGTCTGCCATGGCGCATACGGCAGTGCTTCATTGCGTGTATGCCTTGTTTATGAATGCACTAAGGAACGTTGGAGCCTTTTGCAAGCTATTTGTCTTGTGAGATTTTAAGAGGTACAGTGAGTGAGCTACCATGTGAGTGTGTATTTTCTGGCTTTGTCTGTATTTATGACTAAAGACCTAGGAGTGCTTTGCTTTTCATCCTCATTCCCTTGGCTGTGAATTTATTATGAGGAAATAGGAGCTGTTGTTTAGTTTAATAAGCGTTAGTCCACTCATTTATTCAGCTTAGTACATGTTAGCTGTTGGTGTTAGCTGGAGACTCCGTGGCCCAGGAGACGGGTCCTCGTGCTGGGTCTGTGAGGAAGAAACCTCCAGGCTACGATTTCAGACGGAGAGGCGCTATGCGAGCAGCCTGCCACGTCACGTAGTTTTGTAAGTACTTGTTTGTTTAGAACTGTTCCGAGGTGGGCGAGGGGCCTGGAGCCGCTCTGGAGGCACGGGCTGTGATGCACGGTCAGGAATGACACACGTAGCCGTGGCCTTGTGTGGCCCTGGATGGTCTGTGGGGACAAGCTGCTGCCGCTGTTGGATGAGTCACTGCCTCAGAATTTGGAGGGCTTCCTCAGTGTCACTGGGAACCTTGTTCTCTGTTTTGGCCCGCCCTTCACAAGTCTGGAGTGAGAGGCAGGCATCACCCTGCAGAGGAGGACTTGTGTGTAGTCTGTTGTTTGAATGCCGTTGGTCATGGAGGCAGTTAGTGCTCTTCTAGGCATCAACGAGTATCTGTTGAATCAAAAACACAGAAGATGGGAAGGTCAGGCATTAAAAGTGGGCCTCTAGGTGGTTTTCAGTAGAGGACATGGGACCTCAAGGCCAGGACGCCATCTTGATGACCTCCCACGCCCCCAGTGCAATGCGAGGTGAGGCAGTGCTGTCTGCTCAGGTGTGTGTGCCGAGAGTGCCTGGCACACAGTTTCCTGGGTTCTACTCGCTTGTGGGTTCTTCTTGTCTCTTAATGGCTCCTCTGTTCATGCGAGAATGTCAGATGGTGTGTGGCCTTTCATGTCGCTGTGAGGGAAGAACAATGCTGCTCCACAGCCATCACCCTTCCCTTCACTGTCGGGGATGTGGGAAACCTTTGTCTCCATCAAGGTTAGTTTGATATCCATTTACATGACCTGCAGAGAAAAACATCTCCCTTGTCACTGAGTGCCTGTGGAGGCAGAAAACGGTTTCTTGGCAACGATGGGCCGCTCAGGGTAGATGAGTTGGAGACCTGGAGTTGGAGGACGTGGTTCTCCCCAACTTTAGGGATCCATTGCCCCCTGTGCTTACAGTTTCTGACCATTGACATTTACCCAATAGTGATCTGAGACGTAATAGCTGTGGCAGGAAACTGTTATGCAGCTGGGCGACTGTCTTTGAATTATATAATATAGATTTATATAAAACATATCAAGTAATTAAAAAAAATAAAACCAGTTGCCGTGGAGTCTGTTTTGACTCGTCGTGACCCCACGTGCGTCAGAGTAGAATTGTCTAGGGTTTTCAGTGGCTGATTTTCAGAAGCAGATCACCAGGCCTGTCTTTCTGGGTGCCTCTGGGTGGACTCAAGTGGCCAACTTTTTGATTAGCAGAGAGTGTGTTAACAGTTTCACTGCCCAGGGATTCCTGTCAGGTAGTAACAGCGCTTAAAACCTTTTTTTCTCTTACACTTGGGAACTAACATGAACCAGTAATAATGATACTTGATGCAGGTACTTTGCCTGCACTCACTCACGTCATTAGACCAGTGGTCTGTTGACGGTGGCTGGCACAGCTGTTTGGTGGTCCCCTGGTGGGTCATGTGTGACTTTTCGGCCGAGAGAGCTTGCCGGTTCTCGCTATGCTGGTGCTCGCGGTCTTCCCCTGTGGAAGTGCCTCCCGGCGGCAGGAGCTCGCTGCTGGGAAGACCCTCACATGCCGTGAGGCAAGTGGCAGAGGTGCTGGCACGAGGAATCTGCTGCCCACGCATGTGATTTTCAGTGTCCGGGCTGAGGACCTGGGAGCTGGGTGGCTGCACCGTGTTGCCCGCTGTGGTTGGTTACTTGGAGGTTGGTTACAGCCACCTTCAACAGACCACTGGTCTAATGGCGTGAGTCAGTGTGGGCAAAGTTCCTGAGTTGAGGATTGTTATTACTGGTTCATGTTACTCCCCAAGCGTAAGAAGAAAACTTTGGGTTTCATTGGTCTCCCAGGTTCCAGACTCTCGTAGCCTGAGTAATCCGAGTGGTCCCTGCCCTTGCAGGGGCGGGCCCTTGCCACCCTCTGTGCTGGCCTCGGCCAGGCCTCAGTCTCTACATACTCTGCTGGACTGTATGTGACATTTGGAGATACTCAGGTGGCAGCTGGAGATGTCCTGTGTCCCTTTTCCCCTGTAGAGACTGGTGACTGGTCTCTCGTGCCCTTGGAGTTGGGACGCAGTGCAGTTGGAGAGCAGTGGCAGCCAGAAACAGAACTGACGTTGCTAACCTCAGGCCACCACCATGTCTGTACTTCTTCTAGCATTTCCTCCTTAGCCAGCCAGGCTCTACGGAGCCCATGTGCACCCAGCACAGCGCCCACCAGACAGGAGGGGAAGCCTTGCTGTTTAGACTGGAAGACTCTAATGTCATGTGCTCATTTGCATGTTAACTTAAGCTTGGCGAGTTGACACTGAATTTCATCTTTCTCTTTCTTACAGTGAAAACTGTGAGGTTTTACAGTACAGTGCATGGGAGGCTCAAGATGCGGAAAAGGTAAGAAAAATGCTTGAAACATAGTTCTTAAATTTGATTCATGTATAAGGTTCTCGCAAATCAGATAATCAGTTTGATTCCCACTGGTCGTAGAAACATCTGGTTTTTATAATCTGATCGAAGTACCAAGCCAGCTGATCACAGTCCCCACTGGGTGGGTCTGGTGCTGAGGTTTTTTGTTTCCTTTCAATAATTCAGTTTATTTGATCTTCCTGGAAGGGTTGTCTTCTCTAATATTTTTATTTAAAAGATGGTAAAATTAAAAGCTGGATTAACTAATGAGGAATATTTAACTGTATCTGTAACTGTAAAGGTGTCAGTTTTCCCCATGTTGAGCAGTGCATTTTGTGAAATTCCAGCCAATCTTAGTGGGATTTTCAGGGGATCTTAATGAGTAATAGCCAAGAAAATTTTGAAAAAGAATAATGAAGGGGCATTTGCCTTCCGTGATTCAAAAACACTACAAAATTATAGTAATGAAAGCACTGTGGTGCTAATAAAGAATTAATACTTTAATGGAGCACAAAGGAGCGCTGGTGGTACAGTGGTTAAGCACTCACCTGCTAACCAGAAGGTTGATGGTCCAAACCCACTAGCAGCTCCACGGGAGAAAGCTGTGACTGCTTCTGTAAAGATACAGCCTTGAAAGCCCTACGGGACAGTTCTCCTCTGTCCTACAGGGTCGCTATGAGTTGGAATCAACTCAGTGCCAACAGGTTTGTTTTTGGGTTTTTTTGGTTAATGGTGCAGACTAGAGTTTAGAAACAGTTGCTTGTTTGCGTGTGACTTTAGTAAAGTTAGTATGTTTAACGATAATAAAAAATGAAGTAGATGAACATGGATTATTTGTAAATGGTATGGAGACAATTGACCGATTATTAAAATGTATATAGTATATATGTGTGATACATATAATAATCCCTTATTTTGTATATTAAACTTAAATTATATTACCAAAAAAAAAAATAAAAATTAATAAACAACAAAAAGTTTAACAATTTTAGAAGAAAATGCAGGTTTGGTGACCTGGGTTGAGGTTGGATGGTGATGTCTGTCCTAACAGAACAAGCATGATGGAGTTGACTGCATGAATTGACTTAGGAGGAATTGAATAGCGTAGCGTGTACGCTGGCTTCTCCCTCACTCAGGAGATTGCTTTTCCCACATGTCCTTTTCTCCCAGCCTGCACAGTAATTCCATTGCCACTCCATGGCCCCAAAGTATTAAAAGTGTGTTATTTCACTTGCATTTCTAAAATGCCACTCTGTTTAAGTTGTGTGGATTGTTTCTTGTTGTTTTTTTTCCTCTCTTTTAGGTGGTAGAAGATATTGGATATGTGAAGCTTGAGAAAGGGCCTTGGCTGAAGCAGGATGATCGTACTTTTTATCATCTGCGGATGCTGTGAGTTCAGTGCTGTTGGTGAACTACTGAAATAAGGCTGCTTGATTTTTTTTTTAAGTGCGGTACATTGGGTCTACTTGCGTGCTGTAGAAACTTAAAGAATTTTTAAAATGATTTTGTTTTGAGTTAGCTGTGCACAATGCCAACCGGTAAACACTGGGGCATGTTTCCTCTTCCCTTCCAGGTAGGCTCCTGTGTTCTCTGGTCTGGCAGATGATTAATTGCTCTGCATTATTATTGCAACAAATATTGGGCTTCCACTCTGTGCCAGGCATTGCTTCAGGTTTGGGGGGACATAGTAGCGAATAAAACAAAACAGTTCTCATAGAAGGTTAAGTTTTAGTGGGTGGGGGGTTAGGGCGGAGAGTAAAGAAATAAAACTGCGCCAAGGTTTGC